GGTTAGTCTGAGGATAAATTAATTTTGGACCTCAGGTTCTTGTCTTACTGAAATACATTTGAGATTTTTAGTCAATTTTGGGATAGGAAGTGATTTTCTTTAGTCATGCAAAATTTGGTGCAGAGTCCCAATGAAATGCTGCCAGGAATCAAGCGTTAGTTGGTGAAACAACATCTTCAAGGTCTAGGGTAAAGTGGGAGAGATGCTACACTTCCGCGCAGATTCTATGGAATTAAGTTACACACTGATGCGTTGAATCTCGATTGGAAATCTCGAGAGGGTGTGACCCAGGCCCTAAAAATCAGGGGGGAATGGTTAGTGCAGGGAAGAGTCCGTAAGTGGGCTCCCGTAGGTCTTGCCCGTAAGTATAGGATTTTCGGGTGGCCACTAACCTGTCTCCCTAACAATTTACTCTCTTCCTCTGTAGAATCTGGTGGATGACAACAAATTCAGGCTATGGACAGATGATTTCAAAGATTACCAAATTATTTATTTGGAATGAGATTACCCACATAATAATTCAGAAGAGTAGTACTTTATCTTACTACCATGAGAAGTTCATCACATGGTTGGTAAGTTGGCATTGACTCTTTTTCTTTGAATCTCCTTTCTTCCTTGATTCGTAAGCCTCAGAGTATCAAACTTTGAGTATTGTCCAATAACAGCAGATGAGACTGAACACCCTGATGCGTTGTTGGAGGAGGTGGTGATCCGGTCATGTTATGCCCATTAGGAAATATAAGGAGCTGAACTGGTCTTTTTGGTGCGTGGCTGGTCGTGATGTTTCTACGAATGCCTCTGTGGGCAATACACAGGTGAATGATTTCAGCGGTATTTCTTCCATGAAGTGTGGGGTTCACTCTAGCTATTGGAAATATTCGACACCTAAAAGTAGGTTTGCTTTCTTCTATACATGTATGTAGTGTGCATGATTTGTAGTAAAATGCAATGAAAGTTGGTGATAACTCAAGAAACACCAACAGGTAGTACATGGATTTTGTCTGGTGTGAGAACAAGTCATACATTTAATACCATTTCTGTAGGAACGAAAACACCACCATTTCTATTTTTCTGTTTTTTACAGCAAATAATATTACATTTCTGGATAATCAATGTAGGAAAATCTGATTGTTACTTTGGCTCCTTTATACTTTTGCTTAGATTTTTAGTAGTTTAGAAAGCAAGTCTCACATTTTTCACACAGGTTTTCACTCCATACTTGGGTATGTTCTGCTTATGGGTAATGGAGGGATTCACAGACTTGATGAAATTCCTACCACTGTTTGCTTGATTAGTACTCCCTCTGTAAAAAAAAATAAGAGTGTTTAGATTTTTAGTGATCTAGACACTCTTATATTTCTTTATGGAGGGAGTATATTCTTAGTACAAAACAGAAGAATGCTATTTTATGGTCACCTACAATAAAAATTCTTTCTTTTACCTACATTATCATTTCTTATTCTTCTCTCTTTAACACGAATATGCAAAGATAGAAGATAAACTCATGATCTACTGTACTGACTGCAGATCATCCTTTTTCAATCAACAGGCTGGTACGAGATGTTAAAATGGGTTCCTATTTGTCTACCATCATTCTTCTATTTCAAAAGTGTTAATTCCATCGATTTCTTGCTTATATGTATACTGACTGCAGATTGGCTGAAATTTCAGTTTGCAAAACCCATGATCCAATCCATGCTTTGTCTTATGCTACTGCTGGCCTTGTCCTTCCAAATAGATAAATGCATGATGGACCTGTGGTAGCTCCTGCAGATGCTTACATGTTGTCAACATTAGATGATGATTTGGTTAGTGACTATTTAAAAAAATCTCAATCTAACATGTACACTATATTTGCATGTTAGTTTTGTTTTTGAATTGGCTCATGGGTGTATTTCATATGTGTGTTGGCCGCGTGAAGTTGCAAGTTTCTTTTTCTTACATAAGGGGATATTGATCGCTCTCACTGTAGCCTTTGCAAAATTTTCTTCTCTGGGACTAAGCAAAGATTCAAGCTATGCCAGTCATGGTGTTCTTTTAGTTGGTTAGATTATTTATTTAAAGGTATGTAAATTTTGGATCTATAGTGATTTTCTCTATTGAAGAAGACATGGAAATTCATAGTTTATCAGTTTACATTCTTTGTAATTTATCAATTTAAGTGAAATACTTGATGTAATTATAGACATGCGTGAATTTCTTGTGCTTTCGACATATTCATTTTGATTATTATTAGTTGAAACCTTAACTTTGAAATGTTGCCTAGAGCTTCAACATTCTCTCGGGAGAGACACGTGGCCCTGTTAAACTTTCAATCTGAAAGAACTGTAGTATGTTGTCAAAGCTTATTTTATCAAACCAAGTGTTAGAGATATATTTGATAGTTAGGGATTGTCCGGGATTAGATAAGAATTTTTTCCATCGCATCTCTTGTAGGCGTTTTGTCCTTTAAGTCTTGTACTCAATATGTACTCGCCCTTGAGGCTCAATAATATCATCCACTGCATTATGCCAATCATCTCCCCTCTATTCCTCTTACACTAAGGGTATTTAATTCGTGTGAATCATCTCTTTGCAAGATGAATGATTTAGCTTCCTCTCTATCTTTATGTTTCACTCCAAATCAAAGCTGTGAAAAGGCTCCAGCAAAATGCACTGTAATTGTCACTTTTAACAAATCAAAAGAGCTCAGTGCATACAAATTCAGGAGACCCCCCAAGGCCCCAGTTCAGGCGCTTGCACTAGCTCTGAAGAGCTAGGAAAATTCAATGTAGCTATAACGTGTTGAGAGATTGACCCATGAATGTTACTTCCTCCGTTCCTAAATATAAGTCTTTTTACAAATGGACTACCACATACGGATGTATATAGACATATTTTAGAGTGCAGGTTCACTCATTTTACTCTGTATGTAGTCATTTATTGAAATATCTAGAAAAAACTATATTTAGGAACGAATGGAGTATGAAACAAGCATGTAGGGTGCAGTGGATTCTTCTGCGAGTGAGTGGACACCATCACGTGGGCAGAGCCGCGGCCGTCGCATCGGGGCAGCGGCGCTCTTAGCTCGCATCAGCTTCGGCAACCGGCTCGCCCAACTCCTCTGGGGCATCTTTCCATGACATTAGAAGGTAGGCTAGCTGCCGACACACCTCCATGTGACACTGGCGCTCCCTTCGACTGCTTCGACTCCCTTCGGCGGTGGCGGGGCAACTTCTACAAAGTAGAAACATATGGGCAAATAATTTACTTATAATTATTGAGAGAGGTTATCTACAAAACATGCTTAAGTGGATGGTTAGGATGCCGACATCCACATGTGATATGCCACCATCATTGCCGATCCAATGCTCTACATAGAAGTTTTCATATTTCACTGATCATGGATTTTCACCAGATACGTCGCCCAAGAAAAAATGTATAGGTATATGATTGATGATTATAATGTTTCCTTCCACTTGAATGAGGTAGCTATGTTGTTTTGATGTAAAAAAAAGATAGCTATGTTGTTTCACAAACAATTTGAAATTTAGAAGTTTTAATATCTTTGACTAAGTATATATATTAATTAGGACGTGCATTGCACGTGCAAGCTTACTAGTCCACCACAAAGCAAAGACGACAGCAGCTTATGTACAAAATCTGAAAATTAACAGTATAATACGGAGTAACTTGTTTTCATGAAACAAATACTATAAGCTACAACCTGCTTTCGGTTCAGGTGTTAAAATCAGACAGTTGTCTGTATCATCTCTGTACGATGAGCACTACTAACTACGCTGAAACAAAAAAAGTAGCCATGCTGGCACAATGCAAATACCTACATGATGTACTGTAGAATTTTGTCGTAGGCATCTGGTATCTGGGCGCATTAACATCGCCATGTTCAGAACTCGATCTCAGTCAAAGCACAAACCCATTTTCTGCTGATGGACTGAAACTTCAAGCAGAATAAGTAAACTCAAGTGCTCAACCACCAAATCTGCATGCATTGACACCTGAATACCTGATGATTGATTTACCTAAGATAATAAACTCGTATCTCTGCTGGCAACGTAGAAGTAAAGGCGAGAAGAAGGGCGCAACCATCACAGGCTGATGTCACTGCATCAAACAGTTTCTGAATTTCATAACCATGATGCCAATGCAAACAGGTTCCTCACCCGGTTAGGTTAGGCAGCAGAAACACAACAACTGTTGGGTATTCCGACACTCTGAAGAAGTGAACTGTGGAGCGACCACCAGGAGTCCGGCCCTGGTCTTATATCAACAAAACCAATAGTTTCCATATGAAGGTTCAGTGTAGTTTTTTGACTTATGAAAAATCCAGACAAGTCCTAACTGAGGCTTCAGTACACTTATATATGTAATCCTACTGCAGTTTCAGACAAGTCCTAAGTGAGGCTTCAGTAAACTTCATAGCAAACTGTTTTTCAGACCAACAGTTTCAGACTACAACAGCTTCAGCAACCTGTTTTTCAGAATAACTGTTTAAGGCGTTTGTTTTCCAAGCACGACCAGATTAGATCATAACATCCAGACATTAAGTTCATATTACTGCAAAAATGAGTTCCTTGCCGAAGGAGAAGCGTAGGATGGTGGAGCAAAGGCAGTTTGAAAAATAAGAAAGGCGTTCATACACGAGCGCCCAAAATTAGAGGAAGCAAAGGCAGTTCGAAATATGGTTGTGCTCTCATCCTAACATCGTTTAAGCCAGTATAGAAGCATAGTAGCTGCTAGTGTAAACAGATTACAATGTGACATCACACATGAAAGAAACAACCACTGCAAAACATACCAAAAAAGAGTCAAATACTACCAACATTCAAGCACAACGAAACAGAAAATATAGCTTTTGAAATATTATAGGCCCTGCCTTCTAAAGCCAGTACAGAAGCAAGCTGATGGTGTAGACAGCTCACACCTTACACCATGCATTCAACAGAAAAGATACTAAATAACATTCAAGCACAACGGAACAGAGATTCATAAGGGGAGGATTACTTTGGATTACAAAAAAGGCATTCCTGAATGCCGAGTTTGCATGCAGCATCAAAGCACTTGAAGGGATTGGCCATTGACAAGTCATGTGTATGACTGTTACCTAGGCCATTATGCCTACAATAACGACTTGTGAATTCGAATCGAGCGCCTCGAGAAGCTCTGCTGTCCACTTGTAACCACATGTGTTGATTAGACTTCCATTCGCGGTCGCGGCTGTGAATGGATCCAAATTTCATTTCTTCTAGCACCTTGGCATTCAAAACGAAAAATTTAGCAAATTCAACATTCGGCATGTCCCCAGAGTAGCCCTCCAACACCACTCTTTTGAGATAGCTCTCGAGGCATTCAATTGGATCCAGTGGGTCATATTTTTGCACACTTTTCATCTTCATCCGTGACCATGCGTCAAACTGTAGATGGAGAAAACAAACAATGTAAAGGCAGTTGGTTAATGTATTAGAGCACAAGTCAGTCATGCTTATGTCGATACACAGGAAAATAAGAATACTACTCACAATGACATAGAGCCTCTCCAAGCAGGGGAAGCAGTTGAGCAGGCCAATTAGTGCATCAAGATTAGGGTCATCAAATTCAATAGCTAAAACCTTCACGGTGGGCATTGTGGTTGTCACGCTGATGGGAATCATTTTCTGATGAAAATGAGAAACCGAAATAAGAAAATAAAATACTTGCATACTACATGTGAATTCTGATTGCTTGGTAGTAGAGGGCTGTTGTTACCTGAGAAACCGTGGTTCCAATGAAGAGTTTGAATATTTGGCTCGACAACACATCTAATACTTGGAGCTTAGGTGCTTGGATTACCCGTACAGTCTCCGGACCAGAACCTGGATAGAGGGGCAGCAACCTCTCAAGGCAAGGAGCGTCCTCGATGACAAGCTCTTGTAAAAGGTCAGCAAAGTCCCAATCACATTCCCACCCCCACACCCTCCGCCTTATTGCAGAGAAGCCGATGCTCCTAAGAGTCGCGGAGCTGATGCAGAGACGAGCAGCGCCAAGAATGCCTTCCAGAAAAAGGCTTTCCAATGAATGGCAGCCAGAGAGCATGTTGTGCAGAGAGTCCCCCGAGATGGTGACCTCACATATGGTGAGCTGCTTGAGGTGTGGGAAATTCAGAGAATGCGCGGGCAAGGCCGAGATGGCGACCTTATACAAGCTGAGCTTGTTGAGGCATGGAAAATTCAGAGACTGCCCAGACAGGTCCGGGAAATGGCAGCGGCGGAATGTGGCGACGCGGAGTGTGGGCGCGAAGCGGAGCGCGGGCGGCGGCAGCAGACCGTGTTTGTCATCATCGGCGCTGTACCCTAAGTAGAGGATCTGGAGACCGGTGAGGGCCTGGGAACGAAGCCAGCCGTCGAGCTTGTGGTGGTCGCGTTGGCGGATGTCGGGGAGCTCCAAGAGGAGGGCTGGGCCAGGGTGCTCGGCGAGGACCTTGGAGATGAGGGCGACGCGCCTGCGCTCCTTCCAGGAGAGGGAGAAGTCGGCGACGAGGTTGAGGGGCGCGGAGCGCCACAGGGGTCGCCACCGGCGGGCGACGGCCTGCGTGCGGGCTCCTTCCTTGGTGGGAAGGAGAGAGATGATGGTGCAGAGGACGGCGTCGGGGAGGGCGTTGATGAGATCGAGACCGCCCGCCAGTGGTGATTCTTGGTCGTGCACTCGCTCAAACTTGCGCTTCTTCCTGTAGCGCCACGGCGGCGGCGGCGCATCCATGGATGCAGGGGAAAAAAATTGTATGAGACCAGGTCTCACGGATTAGCAGGTGAGACCCATTTTGATGGATGACATGTGGCATCCACAAATCACAAAGCACCCACCCCACCCTCCACCTAAAATTAAGGGGGAAGAGATTAGATGCTTTGTGATTTGTGAATGCCACATGTCATTCATCAGGGCGGGTCTCTCCTGATTTATATGTGATGGTGGTGGAGAATGGGAAACGACGATTTCGGCTTGTGATTTTTCACTTTCCCATTTTCTTTTACCACTCCCGATCGAAGGGGCAATGGACCGGCGGTGAAAACTTGTGACGTCGCAATCTAGCTGGGAAGCCGTTGGATAAGTCAATGAGCGATCCAACGGGCCGTAATTTGCGCGAGGAAGCACGCGATCCGTGTGCTCGTGGTGAAATCTATTTCAACGTGACAAGGAGATTCAAATGAACTTCGCGTGCTCTACAATACAAATAAGACGAGTACATTGTACAATGAACGGGCTGTCTACCAACGTGGTTATGATAATGTATTTAAAAAAACGTGGTTATGATAATTTCCCGTTTGACACCGTTTTCAAATATATCATGCGCGTTTTCCTCTCGTCCCTTGGCGACCGGTAACCATAACCGCCAATAACGAAGGCTAGCCTTTCAACGATGGCTCCCCTCTGCCGACAACCTCTCAATCGTCAGTGGTGACAAGGATCGTCAGTTCCCGCGTGTGCGGTTCATGTAGCTTTATGTTTTTAGGGCCCTGATAGTTTAGGTTTTGGGTTGTTCGACGGCAGCGGTGAATAAAGAAGCTCCAGATCCTCTCCCGACAAGGCTATCGGCCCTATGGTCGGTGGTGGATTTAAAAACTAGTCTGTTCACGCGGGGGATTTTGTGGCTGCACTAGCATCCTTGCAGTGGACTTGTGTCCTAGAGCTTCGCCGTTGCGATAGCGTCTGCTCTAGCGATGGCACAGAGCTTGGGAGATAGTCCAGGAGCGGATGCAAATAGTGGTCTGCATCCACGACATCTGGAAGACGGATCGTGTGCTGGGTTCATGTTGGTGGTTGTCAGTTATGGTTTCCTCCTCCAACATCTTAGTCGTGCGGGGTGCCAAATTTGGACTTTGATGGCTTGTGTAAGGTGTTGCCCTGACCTGGTTCAATCAACAAAAATGGCTTCACCTTTCATAAGCCACCTTGGAGGTTCATAAAGCTGCATTTCGGCGATGGAGCCGCAACGGGCTTGGGGTGAGGAGGTGATCTGTCATTTTTTTTCATTGGTGGCTGTTATGGTAATGCCGAAGGCAGGTGAAGGGCATTGGTGTCAAGCTTACGGGATCTTTCTGTCTTGATTGTAATTTTTCTTCTTGGCTGGTGTCCTTTTGTGCAAAGTCTAGCATTCTACTGTCTTTTTGGTTTGGTCGGATCGGTGTCAATGTGGCTTGTACTATGGTCTGTATTATATGAATAATTTTGACATCCAACAATAATGGGTTGTTTAATACGTGACACTTCCAAAGACTAACCTGCGACGCCGGCGCCACAACCTGGTACTCCTTTTGGTGTTTTGGTCCGGCCATTGAAGGGGTGGGCGTGGTATCATTGAGGTCGAACGCGGGCTCGAGGAAGATGGCAGCAGTGGTGTCACAAACCTTGTTGACGGTGCTAGTGGTGGTGATCTGGTGCGAGGATTTCGTCAAACATGTGGCAGGCGCCATCTTGATGCCATCAGGGAACACATCAAAGATGACCTCCGTGGCCTCAAGGCAGCTGTGTGGGGTTGAAGTAGTAGTAGCCGGAGCCGGATCGGCTCATAATGTAGCCATGGATGAGTAAGTACCATTTTCATCTGTGCAACAATCCACTGTTAGTATACTCGGAGCCGACAACGAAGCCTCATTATGCTATCCAACCGGACACAGGCATTCTGTAGAGTTGTAACCAGGATTAATATAAGGCCAATGATACACGTGACAATGTATGCAAGCAACAAAATGAACAATATTGAGACAAGCATCATACGTGGAACCGTAGCATAATTTTCGACAACATTTTGAGCTACGGGTATGATGCTTGCATTGTTATCATCAACATTTCTCCCGCTTGAAAGGCCTGCAAAACATTCAGCATATAGCTTGTCAATATAATACATGCACAAAACCCATGAGTAGCACTTTATGATAGAAATGCAGCATACCGGTAGTAACGTCATCTTCTGGTTGCTGTTCAACTGGCTTGCTTTTTGAATTACCCATATGCACCTATGTAAGGGCAGTACAATCACATTAAATGACCTTTGACTAACGTGAACTATGAAATGGCACAAACTCTGCTTACTACTAATCTTGTCATACAAAGTGTTATTTATTCAATTGATCCAAATGATGGTCATCTTGAACTGATTTAAAGAGTGGGAACACATAATCGTTTGTCATTCTATCATTAAGGCTGTTTCTATAAATATCTTTCCAGCCTTATACATATTCAAAATGCACTCAGTTTCTTATTACTTATTTGTGTCTATTCAAGGAATGTCCTCTTGGCATATAAAGTACTTGAAAATGCACTCAATATTACATATGTTGACTATCGCATGGATACCAAATTAGTTATTTTCAATAAGTGTCCTAACTACCTATTGTTTGTGTCACTTGTTGGTGATGTTGTTGTGAGCTGCAAAATCGAAAACCATTGTCAGTTGCTGCTTCGGATGACCCCGGCACAGAGGTAAATCACCACCTGCAAACTCCTAAAGTGAGTGTCAGTTATGTCATGATACAAATACCTGCAAATTCAATTATGCTCCTGACGTTTGTATGTAAACTGGGTGTATATGGCACAAACTCTGCTAATATGTTGTCATTCTTTGCTTGTATAATATGTTTACAGCCTTATACATATTGAAGATGCACTCAGTTGTGTCTATGGCACAAACTTTGCTAATATGTAGTCATTCAATCATTAAGGTTGTTTTTATAATATGTTTCCAGCCTTAGTGTCAGTTATGTCATGATAGAAGTACCTGCAAATTCAATTATGCTCCTGATGTTTGTATGTAAACTGGGTTTATATGGCACACACTCTGCTTAGTCATTCTTTGCTTCTATAATTTGTTTCCAGCCTTATACATATTGAAGATGCACTCAGTTTCTTTGTGAACTCAGTTTCCAGCCTTATATCAAGTACTTGAAAATGCACTCGATACTACATATGTTGACTAACTACCTCTTACTTGTGATGTTGTTGTGAGCTGCAAACTGGGAATCTGTTGTCAGTTGCTGCTTCTGATGACCCCAGCACCGAGGCAATCACCACCTGGAAACTCGTAAAGTGAGTGTCAGTTATATGTTGATACAAATTCATGGAAATTCAAATATGCTCCTGCTGTTTGTATGTAAACTTGGTGTCAGTTATGTGCAGATGGAGCTTGCAATACTGTCATTCCTACCTCATATATGTGTCACTTCTTCATTGTGATGTTGTTGTGAGCTGCATAATTGAAAACTGTTGCCACCGAGATGACTGACCACCTGCAAAACTCTAAAGGTGGGTGTTACTTATGTGCTGATCCAAAAACTTGCAAATACAGTTCCTGCTGTTTATAGATGTAAACTGGGTGTCAGTTATGTGCAGATTTCGCTTGCAATCAGAGGCAAAGATTTATGAAGATGGGGCTGTCAAACTGACCAAAGCAGGTACAACCACATCATATGAGTCATTAAGCTGTATGGGCATAAGATTTGTAAACTGGTTCCAGGCACCCGTATCCAGGAGTCCACTTTGAATGGTCCAGGTCTCCAAAGATTTGTAAGATTTGTAAAACTGGTTCCAGATTTGTAAGGGTTAACACTCAAATTTGTAAGGGTTAATAGCGGCATACCTAGATGGAAGGGATCGGCGGCGGCCAACCTGGAAGGGTCGCGCCGATCCTGATGATCAGCGGCGGATCATACGCGATCGGCCTTAGATTCGATGATCAGCGGCGGAACATATGGGTTGTAGCCGATCCAGAGCAGGGTCCGTCAACGGGATCGTCCTGTCTTTGCACTCCGATGGCGGCGGCGAAGGGGTTGAGCGGCGGTGACGGAAGCTACGTGTACATAGCGATGATAGGGACGAATGACGGCGGCGGACAAGTGCATCGAGGGCACGACGATACGGGTGCGAGGGTTTCTGTTGGGACGATTCGGTTAATTTTCGTAGGTTAACCGTCACAGATTTTTTAGGGCAATTTTTTATGACGTTTTCCGTACAGTTGCACAAGGGGCGTCGTGGTAGCATTCCGTTTTTTTTGTCGGTCTGGATGGAGGAAGTGGGGAATCGCTGGGTAGCGGGAGGTGGGATCGAGGACAAAAATTAACCGCAGCTGGTGGGACGAAAATTGATCGGCGGAGACTACCAACTGCTGCATTAGGAGTAGAGATAACAGGGAACAAAAGAGTGTCCTCAGATATATGTATGATATCCTAAATCACAATATATATATATACTCACAGTTACAACCATCAATCAGTTCTTCCACCTGTGTGTCGATTTATACTTGGCCAAACAACCCTAGAATTTGATCAAATATGCTACACCTATATATATAGGCAATGTAATTTGTTCTCAGGCATCAGGTATTAGTACGATTCATCTTTTATCAAATATTTTTATTTTCTTTCATTATGGACGGGCGCCACAACAGGCACTTTAATGATTTTTATTGTGTGGGTGTGTCTATTTATCGCTTATAGCGAGCTGGAAGGAACACTCGCCCGCTTGTACATGGGCCAGGCGGGCCATAATGACTTCACCTGCAGCTGCATTGTCCACTGTGCCAAGGGCACACACACACGTATTGCATTGGCTGGCACGGCCACCCGCGACCACGGCGGCGTCAGGTCGAAACCTGCAAACTCAAGCACCTTCATTTTATTTATTTATTCACCTTTTTTATTACTTATTTTATTTTGTTTATACTTCCAAAAGATTGTAAATAAATATATTACAAAAACAATTTATCT